TCATCCAAACGGCAAATGATGGTTCCAGGGAAGACTGGCCAAGATTTGAAAACATGCAGCAAGTTGTAACGATCATGAGCTGGACGTCGCAGATCACCCTCCACCGAACAGCTCCAGACGAGTTTTGCTCACATTCATCCTTTCCATTCGATTCGTCTTTTGAATGGAAATTGTCATTTCTGAATGTTATCAATACGCCGATGATGAGTAGCAAAGAGATGGGTAGAAACAGGAGGAACACTCGGTACTTCAAATACCCGTACAGTTCTCCAATAACAAGTCCCGCGAAGAAACTAAATGCCATTTTGCACAGGGCTATCGCCATCACGTTAGCGCACTCTGGCGATGCCTTGGCATATACATCTCTTATGCGAGCCATTGCTATGGTCTGTGTACAGGCACTCAGTGCGCCTTGAAGAACACGATTGGTTGAAACAATCACAATCGATGTGCCTAGAAGTCCGAACAGAAGACACTTCAATATTCCAATCAGAAGCCCAATCAAAATGACCACATCAAACCCAAACCGGTCGGCTGTCATACCAGCAATGGGCGATAACCCGATCTCTACAAGTCCAGTAGAAAGGAAAATGGCACCAATTGCGAAACTAGCCCTTGTTTCTTCGTTTCCATTGGTTTGTGATCGGTTTGTGGTTAGGGGGACGTCGGTAGCTGCCCAATCCCACTCGGCGACAATCGGCACGACGGCTCCGTGCAAGCAGCTCTCCAGATACAGGGCCCCAATGCTCGTGGCAATCCTCAGCCACTTCGTCTTTCCCGAAATATCGGCCATAGTTTGGGTCAAAACTGTTCTACCGATCGCAAGACGACTTGTTCGGTTGACATAAGGAGACGCAAGCTACGGCAAGTAGAAAAGAAAGCCGAGCACAGCTGATGGTGTGAACGTAGTGATCTTTCAAAGACCTTAGAAGGAGAGCTATATTGGCGACGATTCTCCTTGTTAATTCTCTTTTATTAAACCAAATGGTTCGTTGGAAGGTAGCCTATGGAAAGAAACTGCCTAAAAACGATACATTATTGAGTGACGTATATAACAACTCCCCCGCGTTTATGTTTTCAATATTTCTGTAGGCAAGGCGATTTTTCGAAAGCGGATAAACAAAACAATAATAAATTGAATTGGATTTGGTCAACTGCTCAAGGAGATCCACTTAAAGTCTACGTTTTCCCAGAGATTTTTATCTTTACGCCATTAATTACGATTAAAGTGCGCTTCCTGCCAGTACTTAACATCATACTGGCACACTATTAAAGTGAAACATCATGGGATGAGAGCACAATATACATTACTATTCATTATTCATGATTTTTTTTTTTTTTTTTTACTTTCAAGGCCAAAAAGCCAAATCGTAGTTGAATTTGCAAACAATTAAAATTCGTTGTATATTATAATTACAGACAGATTAATACACAATTCAATTCAATTCAAATCAGTTGACATTCATTTAGCAATCTCCAATAAACCAATGCAAATTTGGATTATAAAAGTATATAAATACAGTGATATTTAAATAAACGAATACAAATATGAAGGTAATTACCACCATAAAAGTAATGCTTTGAATCTAAGTATTTAAATTAAGATTAACAGCAAGCGAAGTGAAGAAAAGAGTAGTATCGAAGAGTACAAGGCTGCTCACATAAGCAGAGGCTTGTATGTGGAACAGCCTGGACAAACAATACAACGTAATCACAAGAACAAAAAGACAGACACGATCGGAGACACAAACAAAAGACAAACAAAACCAACGTAGGTAACCAAGCTGATGCAAGATTAAAGGGAAAAAATGCACAAAGATAACAATAAAAACGGAAGGAAAACTAATTATGGAATATTGAAAGAAAAAAAACATATAAATGGTAAAGAAGGGAAGGCTATGTTACATACTGGGAGAGAAGAAATCATTTATACATGTAAGAATGCCCTGATAATGTCATCGGGAATGGAGTTCCATAAACGTGGACCATGCATCGAACTTAAGTGTGAGGCTAGCGTATAGGGGTGCAGACCAGTAAATCGGTCCGAAATTGCCTACGCCGGCCAAATCACGATTTTCAGTATTTGAGCATGCTGTGGGCCATGAACTTGAGGGTTTGTAAAAAATATGGGTGGAAGCCGTGCACAGGACTGGGAGCTTGCAGTTCTGTGTAATTTGGATGTAATTTGGACCCTAAAAGCGCTCTATTTTGCAATGGAGTGTAGGCATCGTTTTTCAAAATGGCGATGGGCTTCAGGACTATTTTCAGGGGTGATCATCTTCAGATGGAAATTTCTCCTAAAGGTCATCAGTTGACCCCCCAAAAATTGAAAAGAAAATGAAAGATGATGAAATAAGCTTTAATTTGATGTGTGTCTCGAACACCTTGGAGAGTTGTGAGTATTTTTCCCGAATTTTTGAAGTGGGAGCATTTACCATTGGGGTCTATGGAAGTTTATTTACTGGTCTGCTACCATAGACCTTTATCACGCGTCCAACATTTTAGTCATGTTCCCTGTATCCAATGGCAGTACTGAGTGATAATGTTTTGGTGCAAAAAGGAACCAGACTATTTTTCCTTCCAGCCTCGCTTCGGTTACATTGATCTGAATGGGAAAAAGTCAAATGGCTGCAACATGATAATGGTCTATAGGGTGCGATGGAATAAGTTATTGCGTGATCTGCAGGGTTGCATGAAGAAAGCTTTAATTACAAAAGTATGTAATTAAGTCACAGCCAAAAAAAACACTAACTAATACAGATAAGACCAAAAAAATCGTCACCGACACCACGAAGTAACACTCTACCGTGTTAAACCATATTTTTTTCGATTTTCAGTTTTTTGGATTTTTAAACATTATTCATCAAGGCCTACCATTGCACGAAGTTTCAAAGCTTCAAGAGCTTTACCTTAATAATTACGCTAGGTATCCATGGCAACTTTTGCGCAAAAGTGACAATTTTCGTTTTCACGAAGTAACACTCAAGTTCCATTTAACATTGAAATGCATGGCGCGCACTCTGCTCTTAAGTGAGCAAAAACGTTTTCACGAAGTAACACTCTTTAAGTTGTATGAGCGCGCGCGCGCTGACCTGAAGTTGCATTTTCCTCGTGTTGAATACATTGAAGAGTGTTACTTCGTGAAAACGAAAATTTACAGTTTCGCAGCCTTTTCGGTTTCACGAACTAACACTCATCTTTTTTCTCTTATTTCTTGTTTATTTAATACACAAACGGGTGAAAAACAGCAGATTTAATAAATTCAATTCATCAAGTGTCCACAACGAGAAACCCAACTGAAAATACTCTGTCATTTTGACGCAAAATGTTGTTTTAGAAGGCGTTCAACTTTAGTTGCCGTTTTCTCCGATTGCTAGTTTTTACTGGTATGTAGATGGGTGTTACTTCGTGGTGTCGGTGACGAAATATTAAAAAGAAAAAGCAAGATTATTCAAAACATACAAGTCATCTAGTATCTACGGAAATTTGAAATTTGAATATCATTCTCCTTTGATAGATATGCGATATCATTTTTATGATAAAATAGAAAATGTACGAAACGATGGAACAGTATAGGGCGGATACTATAACCGTACAGATTGTGTCGGTTGTTCATGCACTTGCAGGGCTTGAGTTTGCAGGCAATTTAGTAGAGTCTAATATGCTCCGTGCCACTTTTAGCTCTCACGTTTGTGTCGTTATGCAGGAGGCACAATAATTGTGTTATACGACCAATGTACGACCAACCCCTCCACAAGAATTTCATTTCAACCCTTCCCTATATAGTCCTTGTTTGATCCTCTGATTTTTGTTTAGTCTAACTACAGTGAAATCTTGATAAGTCAAACCTCAAGGGAACAGGTTCAAAATGACTCCTTCCTTCCTTCCTTCCTTCCTTCCTAACGACTCGTTAACAAATATTAAATTAAAACAGCAATATGGCGGGAAATGCAGAAACCAAAGGTTTATATTGCCATGCCGGGACAAACAAAAACAATTTACAAACATGAGTGGACAAACAAAAACAAAGACAAGAACAATTATCTGAATTATCTACAGAGTTTAAACTTGAATTGATGAATTGAGTTAAGGAGGGTTGTATATCATTGTTATAGGCCTACTGCTGAAAGCAATGAATTCTTTATTTGACTTAACAATTCTTCATTTGCATACGTGTTCAAAAATCTTGCACATGCAAATGATCCAATACCAGTGAGAGAGCAGGTAGTGATGGGCGCGTACTGCTCGACACCCTTGGGTCGAGGGTGATATTGACCGATTACACTTTGATGCAGTATGCATGCATTAGTAGATTTTATTCACCTTAATTTTTTATATTATCAGATTCTTGTTGACGAAATGGAATGGAAAACTTAAAACTTGTTTTACCGGTTTTATCCTCTAAAAACGATCATTCATCAGTTTAAATAGGTGAACTTTTACATTTTCAGTTGCTTGCAAAATTGTACCTCTTTACAGTGAAGCGGGTTAGTGTCAATGTCATTGGAAAACAAAATACAAAAAGGTTATTCATGTGAACGTGATTTTGTTTCTAACATTTAAAGTGTCATTAAAACACCATCTCCGTTTAGCTCTAATCCCGATTATTTTTTTAATCAAAATATATGGGGTAGAGTGGGTGACAAATAGGGCACTGCAACGTACAGAAAATGTTATTCATTCCGTAGCTAATGCACGTGTGTATCATCCTCTTGACTTTCGATTTTGGCATAAATATAAATTTGGGATTCAACAGATTTTCTGTCACGTTTCAATTGTTCGTTATTTCTCTCTACTTTTTGTCATTATCAGTAAACATGTAATTGGCAATGTCAATTTTGTCGTCATGATAATAATCAACATTTTTATCATAACTATAATCATAATGTCTTCCATTGTGCCGAAGTCAGAACTAAAGAAGTGTTTGCTGTATACCACAATCATAAATACAACCAAATAAGACATATCCATAAACATACCCCTTCCACTGTTTAAAACGTTTAATCTTTTGGCTGCTGAATTTCTTCTTCATAAGACAATGGAGGGCCTCCAGTAGAGGTCACTATCTGATACTTGGGGTAATCATTAGGAAAACAGTCCATGATATTAGGTCCTTGCTTTGAGTCAAGCGTCTGTAAGATTACTGTGAGTAGAGAGCTTGCAATGCAAGCTGCTCCGATGATGCAGATGACGCAGACGGATCCAAACAGGTAGGAGGCAAGTAGGGGTCCAAGAAGAAAGGAAGCCGCCCAGCCCACGTTGAACATGGCAAAGACTAGACCGTAGGATTGGGGATAGCGGCTGTTTGCGATGGTAGAACACATCATCAGGAGGGTGAAACGCGCAGCAGTGGCGCCGAATAAATGAGTACACAGGGCGACGCCGGCAACAACGATGTTCGGTGAGAAGTTGACAAGAAGCAAAGGTACTCCTGCCGTACACAGTGACGCCATACAGAAGATCCAGGATCGGTGCTGGAGAGCGGGTAGGATCTGAGCGCTGGCGAGGCTGGATGTGATCGATGCCACTCCGCAGAGCCCAAGAATGACACCTGTAGATTCTGGACCTGCCTCGAATGAAGATTTCATCCAAACGGCAAATGATGGTTCCAGGGAAGACTGGCCAAGAGTTGAAAACATGCAGCAAGTTGTAACGATCATGAGCTGGACGTCGCAGATCACCCTCCACCGAACAGCTCCAGACGAGTTTTGCTCACATTCGTCCTTTCCATTCGATTCGTCTTTTGAATGGAAATTGTCATTTCTGAATGTTATCAATACGCCGATGATGAGTAGCAAAGAGATGGGTAGAAACAGGAGGAACACTCGGTACTTCAAATACCCGTACAGTTCTCCAATAACAAGTCCCGCGAAGAAATTAAATGCCATTTTGCACAGGGCTATCGCCATCACGTTAGCGCACTCTGGCGATGCCTTGGCATATACATCTCTTATGCGAGCCATTGCTATGGTCTGTGTACAGGCACTCAGTGCGCCTTGAAGAACACGATTGGTTGAAACAATCACAATCGATGTGCCCAGAAGTCCAAACAGAAGACACTTCAATATTCCAATCAGAAGCCCAATCAAAATGACCACATCAAACCCAAACCGGTCGGCTGTCATACCAGCAATGGGCGATAACCCGATCTCTGCAAGTCCAGTAGAAAGGAAAATGGCACCAATTGCGAAACTAGCCCTTGTTTCTTCGTTTCCATTGGTTTGTGATCGGTTTGTGGTTAGGGGGACGTCGGTAGCTGCCCAATCCCACTCGGCAACAATCGGCACGACGGCTCCGTGCAAGCAGCTGTCCAGATACAGGGCCCCAATGCTCGTGGCAATCCTCAGCCACTTCGTCTTTCCCGAAATATCGGCCATAGTTTGGAAAGATCAAAACTGTTCTGCCGATTGCAAGACGACTTGTTCGGTTGACATGAGGAGACGCTAGCTACGGCTAGTAGAAAAGAAAGCCGAGCACAGCTGATGGTGTGAACGTCATGATCTTTCAAAGGCCTTAGAAGGAGAGCTATATTGGCGACGATTCTCCTTGTTAATTCTCTTTTATTAAACCAAAGGGCTCGTTGGAAGGTAGCTTATGGAAAGAAACTGCCTAAAAACGATGCATTATTGAGTGACGTATATAACAACTCCCCGCGTTTATGTTTTCAATATTTCTGTAGGCAAGGCGATTTTTCGAAAGCGGATACACAAAAAAATAATAATTTGAATTTGGATTTGGTCAACTGCTCAAGGAGATCCACTTAAAGTCTACGTTTTCACAGAGATTTTTATCTTTACGCCACCAATGACGACTAAAGTGCGCTATGCGCTTCCTGCCAGTACTTTACATCATAATGGCACACTAAGTGAAACAGTGGGATGAGAGCACAATATACATTATACTATTCATTATTCATGATTTATTTTTTTAAACTTTCATGGCCAAAAGGCCAAATCGTAGTTAAATTTGCAAACAATTAAAAATCGTTGTATATTATAATTACAGACAGATTAATACACAATTCAATTCAATTCAAATCAGTTGACATTTATTTAGCAATCTCCAATAAACCAATGCAAATTTGGATAATAAAAGTATAATACAGTGATATTTAAATAAACGAATACAAATATGAAGGTAATTATCACCATAAAAGTAATGCTTTGAATCTAAGTATTTAAATTAAAATTAACAGCAAGCGAAGTTTAGAAGAGAGTAGTATCGAAGAGTACAAGGCTGTTCACATAAGCAGAGGCTTGTAGGTGGAACAGCCTGGACAAACAATACAACGTAATTACAAGAACAAAAAGACAGACACGATCGGATACACAAACAAAAGACAAACAAAACCAACGTAAGTAACCAAGCTGATGCAAGATTAAAGGGAAAAAAAGCACAAAGATAACAATGAAAACGGTAGGAAAACTAAATATTGAATATTGTAAGCAAAAAAAAACCCATATAAATGGTAAGGAAGGGAAGGCTATGTTACATACTGGGAGAGAAGAAATCCTTTATAAATGTATGAATGCCCTGATGTCATCGGGAATAGAGTTCCATAAACGTGGACCATGCATCGAACTTAAGTGTGAGGCTAGCGTATAGACCTTTATCATGCGTCCACCATTTTAGTCCGTGATGTACCCTGTATCCAATAACAGTACTGGGTGATAATGTTTTGGTGCAAAAAGGAACCAGACTATTTTTCCTTCCAGCCTCGCTTCGGTTACATTAATCTGAATGGGAAAAAATCAAATGGCTGCAACATGATAATGGTCTATAGGGTGCGATGGAATAAGATATTGCGTGATCTGCAGGGTTGCATGAAGAAAGCTTTACAAAAGTAAGAAATTAAGTCACAGCAAAAAAACCCCACTAACTAATACAGAAACGACCAAAAAAATATTAAAAAGAAAAAGCCAGATTATTTAAAACATACAAGTCATCTAGTATCTACGGAAATTTGAAATTTGAATATCCTTTGAGATATAGATATGCGATATCATTTTTATGATAAAATAGAAAATGTACGAAACGATGGAACAGTATAGGGCGGATACTATAACCGTACAGATTGTGTCGGTTGTTCATGAACTTGCTGGGCTTGAGTTTGCAGGCAATTTGGTAGAGTCTAATATGCTCCGTGCCACTTTTAGCTCTCACGTTTGTGTCGTTATGCAGAAGGCACAATAATTGTGTTATGCGACCAATCTACGAACAACCCCTCCACATGAATTTCATTTCAACCCTTCCCTATATAGTCCTTGTTTGATCCTCTGATTTTTGTTTAGTCTAACTACAGTGAAATCTTGATAAGTCAAACCTCAAGGGAACAGGTTCAAAATGACTCCTTCCTTCCTTCCTTCCTTCCTTCCTTCCTTCCTTCCTTCCTTCCTTCCTTCCTTCCTTCCTTCCTTCCTTCCTTCCTTCCTTCCTTCCTTCCTTCCTTCCTTCCTTCCTTCCTTCCTTCCTTCCTTCCTTCCTTCCTTCCTTCCTTCCTTCCTTCCTTCCTTCCTTCCTTCCTTCCTTCCTTCCTTCCTTCCTTCCTTCCTTCCTTCCTTCCTTCCTTCCTTCCTTCCTTCCTTCCTTCCTTCCTTCCTTCCTTCCTTCCTTCCTTCCTTCCTTCCTTCCTTCCTTCCTTCCTTCCTTCCTTCCTTCCTTCCTTCCTTCCTTCCTTCCTTCCTTCCTTCCTTCCTTCCTTCCTTCCTTCCTTCCTTCCTTCCTTCCTTCCTTCCTTCCTTCCTTCCTTCCTTCCTTCCTTCCTTCCTTCCTTCCTTCCTTCCTTCCTTCCTTCCTTCCTTCCTTCCTTCCTTCCTTCCTTCCTTCCTTCCTTCCTTCCTTCCTTCCTTCCTTCCTTCCTTCCTTCCTTCCTTCCTTCCTTCCTTCCTTCCTTCCTTCCTTCCTTCCTTCCTTCCTTCCTTCCTTCCTTCCTTCCTTCCTTCCTTCCTTCCTTCCTTCCTTCCTTCCTTCCTTCCTTCCTTCCTTCCTTCCTTCCTTCCTTCCTTCCTTCCTTCCTTCCTTCCTTCCTTCCTTCCTTCCTTCCTTCCTTCCTTCCTTCCTTCCTTCCTTCCTTCCTTCCTTCCCCCCCCTCTCTCCCTCCCTCCCTCCCTCCCTCCTTCCTTCCTTCCTTCCTTCCTTCCTTCCTTCCTTCCTTCCTTCCTTCCTTCCTTCCTTCCTAACGAAGGAATATTAAATTAAAACAGCAATATGGCGGCATGTGCAGAAACCAAAGGTTTATATTGCCATGCCAGGACATACAAAAACAATTTACAAACATGAGTGGAAAAACAAAAACAAGGACAAGAACAATTATCTGAATTATCTTCAGAGTGTAACTTGAATTGATGAATAGGCCTACTACTGAAAGCAATGAATTCTTTGTTTGACTTAACAGTTAGTTGTTATCAGATCAGAGTTTTACTTATCGAGATTTCACTGTAAATCTCACCATGAGATTGAGGTCTTCGTATACCATAATTAATGCGGTTAGCGCGAGTTAGTTCACTATTGTGAGAGCGTCTATAAAGAAATTGAAAAGAAATAACATATCGTGTTGAGAAGATCTTCACGAGTTTACAGGATTGATTTTCGGTTAAATGCCCTTGGTAAACTGACCTCGACTGCGCTGAAGTCACACTCACGTGTGATTACCCAGCTAATAAGCGCCTTGCACAGTACGCCCTCACGCGAGGACATGCTTTGTCATTTAAATTAAAAGTCACAGTGGAAGTACAATGCGTCTACTCATGCGTATCACAGAGGAACTCCCACGAGACATCTAAAAGCTAAGACGTCAGAAGCAAGCTTACGGTCGGCTATGTCAGCATGTTTATATTCCACGGTACTTTAAGACTGACGGAGCAGATCTAAGAGTAAGCTTTTGCATGGGGTTCGTTGGTTGCATGTTTTTCCTATCAATGTTCCAATACAACTGAATATTCTCAACATAAGGTGAGTCCTGTCGTATTTAATTAACCAAAGTAAATAACGAGAACATAATTCATCCCCGGATTTAGAGACGGTACAAAACAAAATCCCCCTCCACCCTCCCGAAAAAGTGTTATCGTTAAAAGCATGGGCGTCGCCAGGAGTTTTTTTAGGGGGGGGGGGCCAAAGCAAATTTTTCGCGAAATAGATATAGAATGGTGAATGTTTGAAATCGCCTTCTAAAAGCCAAAAAAAAGAAGTCTTGTAAACGAATCTGAATGGACATTGACGAAAGGTGCTGCTCAATCACTTAATTGATTGAACACGGAATCGAATGTTGTGGTAGCGAAAATAAAACGCGTGTTCAGAGCGATTCTCAAATTCAGACGAAAAATGAATGACCGATTTTCAGAAGTGAATGATCATTCAAGGAAATTGGCCGGAAAAAGCTATATATTTGTTCCCGTATTTGGGTATATTTTTTATTATTTTATTTTTTTGAAAAGTTTATTTTGGTGATTCAACTTTGACACTTCCTGGCTTTAATAACATTTTTTTATAAGCATAGTGACTGAATGATTATGAGGACATAGTAACGATCCAAAATGGCTACTACATTTTTTTATTCAAGTTCACTAATTCTAACATTTAAATTCGTCAGAGAAAAATTTCACTTGCTTTTAACAAAACCAATTTAGTCATTAACTGTTCAATTTCAAAGTTTGGTCATCCTCTTTAGTCACTGGGTCGAGAATAAATCCAATAGACGAATTTGATTTCTGAATAACAAGATTTGGCGTAGACGAGACGAAATCGAATACTCCTAGGTCGAAAACGTGTGCTCATTGTTTGAATTTATTTGGACTAAATTTGAAATTGTTTGACAAAAGACGAAATTAAACATGGGAAGTGCACTAAATCGATGTTGCCGGACGGATTTGAATACAAGAATCGGTAAATTCGAGCGAAAAATGGTTTAAAGTAGCATATTACACCCTAAAGTTAAGCGCATTTATACCTTCAATTTGTCTACGGCCAGATATCATCAAGTAGGCCTCGTCTTGCCAAACCTTAGTATCATGAACTTCAAATTCACCATGTTGCTTACTGGTACAGATTAAAAACCTCAGTAGAATCACCAAAATAAACTTTTCAAAAAATAAAATAATTAAAAATATATAGGCCTATCCAAATATGGGGAAAAATATTACACGACAGGTATCAACGATTTATGCAAATTAGGCATAATATTTCCACTATAAAATCCAGCTTGGCCATCATTTTCAGATTCAGCACCCCAACTAAATAGCTACTTCTACTCGAAAATACCTCTTCAAGTAACAATTTTTGAAATATCGCCTAGTTTACCTGCACACGTTTTAAAACGTGGATCGTGCATTGAGGTTTAAGAAAACAGCCAGTACCACCCACCAAGGGTGCACGCCTGCAAAATTGCAAATAGGCCAAAAATCCGTCCGCCGAGCTCATGAACAAAAGTTATACCCTCAAAATATTCTATATTAGAGTTCTGAGAGCAATTGGGGAATTGAAGAGATATGGTAATGAACCACTGGCCTGGACTTGGGGCTTCCGATTCCGAGCATTTTTGGATGCTATTGGGCTCGAAACTGGTGCTATTTTGACATGTTGTGGAGGCGGGAATCGTTTTTTAAGATGGCTACTTTTCCGCTTTGGGGAAAATAGGGGTCGTGTCTTCTTTGGGTGAGAATAGCTCGAAAAGTCAGTAGTCAACCCACCAAAACATGACAAGAAAATGAAAGATGACGTGTTGCTCATCATTTTTCTGTGCAGCTAAAATACCTGTTAGAGTAATGAGTATTTTTAAAAGAATTTTGAAGTACTGGCATTTAGCACTAGTGTCTATGGGAATTTTAGTGCACCCAAGACGGAATGTACATACACGTGTAGTTCCGACGAGTGGTGGCGCTGTTCAGAAAGTAAGATCAAATTTGGTGGTCCAAACGGTCGTCCCATTGGTCAATCAGCTGATTGCAGCAAGCTAGCCGGTTGTTTTGAACAAATCGTTTATTGCAGTCATCATTGAAACTGAAAGTTGTATGCTCCGAAATTTAACAAGAAACGAAGTTTTAAATCAGACTACTGTACACAAACCGTAAGTCTTTGGAATTGGAAGAGCATGTATTTGGTTAGCCCCATAAATGTGGCCAATTTACTGGACAAGGGTACCTCCGCAAAAAAAAGGTCACACTTGATCAAATTGATCAATGAATTAATGAATTTGACATGTTTGATGAGTTAAGTGCATTTTCAAAGTATTTTCTAACATTTTAAGTAACAAAATTGGAAATGTTGCTAAGTCCCAGAGGCAGGCTAGAGACCTAGGGCCTAGGCCTATCTTATTCAACATTTTTGCAATGAGAAATATAAAGTATGAAAAAAGTGGTGTCAATGACTGTCACTTTGTCAGGATGCAATATTCTTCGCACTCGATCGTCACGAATGATCATTACGGCTGCCGTGATGTGATTTTAGTTTTACATGTCATAGGTCCTGCATCATGTATGTGTTGCAATAATCAAGTTCTACTATTTTATATAGAGAGCACTGAAGATAAGTGTTTTAAATTGATCAATGTTGTAAACGTTACTCATCTCTTGTCTGCTGAGAATATTATTGTGTTAAATCAAATGCTGCATTTTATACTAAAGTAGAGTCAGAGATTAAGGAGCTCGGAGTGATGACAGCTGTTTAATTTGTTTATAAGATTGATAAGTTTTTTAGTTTGTGTAATGGTTGACACTTTTTCTTGTTTGGTATTTTTTTGTGTGGTCACATCCCAAGATGGGTGATGCCAGAGCATACCAAGCAGCAATGAACGCTGGAGGTGGGTTCATCCGATGGGACTGGAACAAGAATAAATACGTCTGGGTCAGCAAAAAGGACTTACAAAAGCAAGCAATTAACAAGGTGTGTATCCATAAATTGGCATGCTTAACATGCTTAATACCCAAAGCACTTGCCTCTTTGTGACTTCAAAGTAGAGCTGTGCATTGGGTCATGCAGGTTGACCAGGCCAAACAGACCCGAAACATTATACATAGATATAATCATGTAAACCAAATCCGAACCGAAACTGATCTGAAATCCCTAAAACTGACCCGACAAAAATTCAAGGAAAACTGACCTGAAACCGAACCGACCCGGCTCGGGCAACTGTGTCCGCCTTTTCTGCCTGAATGTACCCGTGTCGCATGAAAATTGTTGTCTCTCCGTAACTGAATCATACCGTACGGCACTCACAACGTGACCTACTGGTGATCTAGACTGTGCGTGATAGACTGCAAACCATTTTGGTCGTACCGGGCACAGTGACTCTGCAATAAACATTGCACCATTTGAATTTCCAAACAGTTTCAGGTTTAGGCCAAAACAAAAAAGTCTCCGGTTTCTGGTATGGAGCTTGCCCAAAATGTGGTGCGGCGACGCGGCTTTTTTTTTTTTTTTTACCTGATTTTTTTGCTTCAAATCATTGAAATGTCGGCTGATGACTGCAAATGGTGCTGACTAAACTTAGTGCAAATATATGGGAGTCCAGAGAGGCCACATAAAGCTTATTCTCGACCATAACCCAATCTAAAAACACGTTAAAATTATGCAGCAGCAGGATTCCAGTCAAACCAGTGAGTTTGGCAGTTTTGAGATATCATCTTTCATTGAAAAAAACCTTTTTCATTTTGCCGACGCGCATGGCTACGGCGACGCGCGCGCATACCAGAAACCGGAGATTTTTTTTTTTTGGCCTTATTTGAGGTTTTTCCAAACCGAATCTTATGGCTTACATATCTATAATTGAACCCTTTTATTTTCCACTTCCAGAAACCTACAGCACCATCACCTTATGAGCAGAACATCGCAGCCCTCAAAAAGTAAGTGCTACACACACGATTTCTGCCAACCATAGCTAGAATTCTGTGCTTATGTATGATCAGCATTCTGTAGTTTTGTAATACATGAATCATCTTCCAATTTTGCTTCACAGAGTTTCTATTTTTGTGAAAAGCATAAATTTAAAACATAATGCATGCATAGTCATCTGAGTGCGGGGCATTTATTAAATGTCTTTTTGGTCACTTGTTAATAAATGCAGTAATGTTTGTGTTTGTGTGTAGTCGGCAGCGAAATCACAACCAGCCATCCTTTAAAGTTCCTGTGAAGAAGGCCTACCGACAACCTTTGGTGATGTCAAACAAGCAAGTGAAGGTACATGTTCTATTTTTTCCCACTTTCATTCTGTACCTCCAAAAGTTTTTCCCATGGTGGTGTGAAACACGCCGTGGGCTTGAGCTGCTTATGTTGGTTGGTTGGTGGGATGGTTGGTTGGTTGGAGGACAGTTTGCGCCGGGGTGTATTATATTGTTCCATACCATGCGTGTATCAGAGCTGTGCTAGTGAGTTTCTATGGAATACCGTACCTGCAGTTTGGTTTGTGTCCATGAGCAACATACTTTGATGTAATTACATCAGTCTTCTGAAGCACAGATTCATACATTACATACGCACGTACAAACAGTGTTGGCTAATTGGAGCAATACACAGTACACTGCAGAGTACTTTTTTTGGTGAAGAGGCCTCTTTTCAACTTCATGGTCAACTTTTTACACATGTTGTCCTGCTGTTATCTATCCATCCTTCGTTTTTGCATTCAGGACCCCACAAACATAAATACATTTAGAAGTGTCGTAAATAACCATCATTACAGTGATAGAAATTTAGAATTATTTCACTAATATCACTTCTAAAATGTAATCATTGGTGTTAAAAAAAACCATGTGCAACATACATGTAAATTTGCAAACACACTGTGACTTTTCTCCATGAAGCACAGCAAGAAATGGCCGCTCAAAAACTCATTGTATTCTCGCTTTTTTTTTTTCTTACTGCAGCCCCCAGGAAATGCAGGGAAGGGACCGAAAGCACCCTCTCCAGTCAAAAAAGTGGTCCAACCATCCGGGGCCATCGTCCAGGCAGGGAAGAACTGATCCAGAGGAGGGAAAAGGCTAACAACAAAGAGAATCATCCCATCAAGCAAGGCAGTGGAGAGGAGGCAAATGTTGCCGCACCACCATCTGAGGTTTGTGGAAATTTGAAACATGGGTTTAAAGGGAAAATACAACATTTGCAAACATTGAAAAATAAAACTATCAAGTTGTTACAAAATACCTTACTAGGATGTTGGTAAATGACAGTCTGAAGCATCCTGTAAAATTATGGCACCTGGTGTGAAATCATTTTCAAGAAAAATGGTACTTTTGTATACATTTCCAACGGTGGTCGGCCGACCACCGTTGGAAAAACCTCACTATTTTTTAATTACTGCTCCAAATTTACCATATTTTTTTTCAGTCCAAATTTGGTTTGCTATTGGTTACATGTTCATAAACGGGTGCAGGCCAACTAGACTGGTAATGGTTCCCTTACCTCAGCTTACCATTTTCCAGCGTTTTGGATCCATTTATCTTTAGTGGAGTCAAGGAACCTGACTACTTGAACATTTTTGTCTTTCTTGGTCTTTCCATCATTTTCGAACACAAAACTTCAAACATGTCAGTGTAACAATATTTGATCTATTATACTTACCTCCCCAAAAAGTTTATTTCTGAAAATTACAGCAAAAGCCAATGCTGTACATTCCATTTAATGATCAGGAATTTTTTCCAAACCTTGGCATTGTCTTTGACTTTGGCTTGTCTCTAAGTCTTTGTCCAAGACTTCATTTGAATTTTGTTACACTAAATAAGTGTGTAAGCCGTCACGGCTGCAGGTGTCTATGGAAGATTGGCAGTGCTATCCAAGACATTCTAGGCATATGCCTCATATGTCCTTGAATACAATCCAGCTAAGGTATGCTCGGAATCTCTTGGATAGCAGTGCCAATGTTCCCAAGACTGAATTTGATTCATCTTGTTGATAGCGTTCTCGATATCGCCACGGCAGCTTAACTGCACTTGCCAAGGTCAGCACCAGATGAATTAGGAGAACAAAATCCAAATGCTTTGACCAAGACTACTTTGTCTCTGGCTCCAGACAAATTAATTAAGGAGCCTTTAATGCTCATGATTTGATGTTCAGTTGCAGAAAATGGACCCAATAATGAGTCCCTCTTCCATTTCAGCAACCAAACCCATAAAATGGGAGACTGAAGCCACAAGGATTGGAAAATCCCCCAGTGGTGGTGCTTACGTGGATAAAAATCAAAGCTACCATCGCTTTTTCCGTGTTGCTCACAGGGCTGGCCCCTGAATTTTATCATTGGCAGCAAGTTTCAGACATTTTAAACAAATTTAAATGAATTCCTACTTTTCAATAAATTACATCAGTAAAGGACCAATCCTGATCTTCACTCCACCTTAATTGCAGTACCTGCTCATACTTCCCCATTAGAATATATTCCAACCAACCAGCTGACCCCGTCAAGCTTGGTGGTCCAGTGGTTGAACGGCCGCTTGCCTTTTTAAGGGCTAACGGTGTTGTTATTCAAGGCAGAAACTTCAGTTTCACATCTGCTTCAGCATTAAACGATCACCCCAATTTTAGGGGTAGATAACTTTGGTTATTCTTCTGATTTCAGTGGTGCATTGTCGTCTCAGAGTATGACAGTAAGACAATGAGAAAACTTTATGCACTGAATGTTTTCAATAAGCAAAATTTTGGGTTTACAATTTGAAGAGAAAAATCCTTAGCTCGAGAAGTGTTCCTATTTAAAGTGACATCACAGCAATAGTGCCCTCAGTTGTCAGGAAAGGCATGAAACATGTTTAATGGTTAAACAAGTGCACTTTGCAAAACCTCTAACCGAAAAGGGATGTCTCATAGTTTTTATACATTTCAGAGGATTGGATATTTGCTACAAATATGCTCGACTCTAAAATCCACTTCATGAACCTTTAAGTAAACTCTAAGACAGTTAGCGCTTTTGAAATTACGTCGGTGAAGGGCAAGACCCAACATTGAACTTGACCAACCTGTTTTGTCTTAACAGCTCCTTGGTGGCCACAGCACCTTTCTGTCCATTATATCCAATCGTCTGATCCACCTCAACGCAGCCCTGACTTTCTGGAGGAAGAACCCCGGTGCCCTCATCACCTACCTCAATCGCACAGCTGATGATTCGGTTACCGTGGATGTGCTCCCAGTTTTGACGTTGAGGTAAGGACAAAAAAATTAATAAGTCGGTCTCTGGTCAGCGCGCGCGTCGATTTTAATCATGCGCGTCAATCTTGTTTTTCTTCCAAAATGTTCCGTGGTAGCTCCAACAGCGCCCTCTATTTCCGCACCTCCTCAATTTTTTTTTACCAAAGAGCACCAGGGAATGGGAAATTGCACCAAGGCAAATGATCGAAAGCACCAAGGCAAATTATGGAGGACACCAATGTACATGAGGACACAAAAAAATCAAAATAGTACCCCACCTTGTCTGTACAATCCCAGCTTGAAGAAAGAAAAAAAAACCAACAAAAAAGCCTAACATCATTTTTTTTTTCTTTTTTTTTTGCTGTTTGACTGAGACCTTGTGTCTTTCTGCCTGATAATATGTGCATGGAATGTACTGTCGATTTGGACTTGATTAAGATGAAATTTGATATATAACAAACACAATTTTAAATTCATGCACATCTCTTATGCACGGAAAATTTACTTTAAATTTACAAGCTTCACACTAATGCATTTTACAGTGAAAATTTGTCTGAGACTCGAAACTTGCCATCTTTAAGTATGTGCTGCTGGTGTGCGTGGCACTGTGTCTATGGTGCTTCAAAAATTACTGAATAAATTTCTTTTCCATTTTTGCATAGACACAAAATGTGATGGCTGCTGTGTGCCCTAGCGGTGAACTCAAAAGTTCAAATATTCTAATCCAGTAGACATTCCAGTAGACATTAGGCCAAAAAAAAAAAAAAAAATCTCTGATTTCTGGTCTGCTCCCGTCGCCGTTGCTTTGAGATGGGGTTACGATCCAGTATAAGCTTTATGTGGCCTCTCTGGACTCCCATATATTTTACACTAAATTTAGTCGGGCACCATTTGCAGTCGGCAGCCGACATTTGAATAAAAAAAAAAGGAAAAAAAAAAAAAAAAAAGCCGCGTCGCAAGCTCCATACCAGAAACCGAAGACTTTTTTTGTGGGCCTTACAGAAACGTTTTTATTTTGAGATCAAGTCGCGTGACCTTTACTTTTCGAAGAACTGGAAGGTCGAAGTCATGTAAAGTCAAATGAAAACAGAGGCTTGATCAAAGAAAAAAATTTTCAGAAAATAATTGAATATTGAGTAAGCTGTCGCTAGTACTCATAAATTACCATAATAATATATTACTCTTGCTTCATTTCAGTTTAGTGCGGCAGTCGCCTAAGGCTAAACTGATATCGATGGGTGCCTGGCTAGAATTTCTACCAACCCTTCACAGGCTTCTGCGCAGCAAGTTTGCAGAGTAAGTACTAGGAACAAGACATGAGACAATAAACACTGTAATGCAGAATCATAGCACAGCAGGATCACTGAGTTGCTTTGGTTTATGTAAAGATGGGCATGATAACAGTGATAGTTCCATTTTATGTCATTTTATTTTCTCAGCGAATATTTACAAAAAATAATGTATTGAAAATGCTGAAAAATTTGAATCTGTTCATTTATGTTGGCTGATGCACTATTGAAAATTCTGGTGAAAATCTACTGTTGCAAATAATATGTAATAACATGAAATCAAAAACTTTGCAGGGGTGAGATTTGTCAGGATTTTGTTTCTGATTTCAGGATTTTTCCTGCTTTCAGAATTATTTTTTAGTATCCTTTTTGAAATCTGGAATTCATGAGTATGTGCTGTAAAGTAATAATAATAATAAAAGAACATTTGTAAAGCGCCGGTATCCGCCAAAAATAGGCACTCATGGCGCTTGAGGAGAAAGTCAAGTTAAGATTGTGTGTTGTGAGAGTAAGCTTGTTTGTACAGGTGAGATTTTATGTTTGTCTTAAATGTTGTGATGGATGGAGATGATTTGATAGCCAGAGGAAGTTGGTTCCACACTCGGGTTGACGCTGCAGTAAAGGATCTGTCACCCCATAGAGTGGAGGTCCTGGGCTCGTGAAGCATCATGAGCTCACTGGAGCGGAGTCCGGTGCGTGCTGTTGAGTACGGGTGGATGAGGTCGATGAGATACTCCGGTGCATTGTTGTGGAGGATTTTGAACACGAATAGGCCAAGTTTGTATTTAATTCTGTATGATACTAGAAGCCAGGTATTTTTACCTTTAAAAGTTTATAATCATGGAACATTATAAACTTATACTATGTAAGGGGTGCCTTCACTGAAGGCAAATACAGATACACCATTGACCCTATGTTAATCTGGGGTTCTTTGATACCCTCCTAAAGCCTCTGCTAATCATATTGTGGATTTTTCATTTCCCCCGATCTCACCCCTAGCTTTGAGAAGCTTGAAATTCATGGCGGAAGTTTGCAACCTTGCAGCTTTAAGTTGTGTATATGTGGAGCAAGTCGTCAGAACAAGCAATTTTGATCCATAGGCAAGTTGAGGCAAATTGTAAGCCAAAGGAAGGCTGGAAATGAACCAAGGACATTTTTCAGTCATTGGAAATGTAACCCAGCACGACATGAAGTGCAATTAAAATTGCCCGGTGCTTTCTTTTTGGAGATTTCCTTGAACAAGCTGCCTGTCGATTACCTCATGTAAGATAGCTGTCGGTTCACGGTGAAGTTTATAAACATCTTTCAATATTTAAGTGGAAAAACTGTCTTTACTGCACAGACTAGAGTCCAGTTCTTTGCATGCTTGCTTATAATCTAATTACTGTCACATCTGTACTTTCTGATTGTATTTTATTGCAGCTACATTAAAGTGAGTCTTGACCTGATACGGACTCTACTCCGGCACTGGACTAAAGAGCTAGAAAAGCAGAAGTGTCCACAAAACGCCACACACCTCCTACAAAGCCAGTAAGTCACAAATACATGCAACTTTCTTTGTAAGAAAGTGTCACAAAACAACATTGAAGATGAAAAAGGCATGGAACAGGCTTTTATTTTGTACTTCTGTATATTGTACCTCTGTGTGATTTGTAGTCTCTTAAAATACAGGGTGAGTGAAAAAAAAAACGAAACCCAAATGTCGGGACCATTGTTTTAGTGACTGTGAAGTTCTGCATGTAGCACTTTCAAAATCTAGGATATGAAAGCTCAATTCATGAGCTTTCTTTTAGTACAAGAATCATTCAAATCACTCATGTACGTTTCAAGTTACGGAATTTTAAACACAACCACTGTTTTAAAGTTCTGTCCACGGATCACAAAAATGTAAGTGTTCTATCAGCGAAATGAAAACAAATCACATAGGGATGTCTGTGAATTGTTTTCGATTTGCTGAAAGAATGCACACCTTTCGTGTGATTCCGTAACTTGAAAAGTACGTAAATGATTTGAATGATTCTTGTACTAAAAGAAAGCTTATGAATTGGGCTTTCATATCCTAGATTTTGAAAGTGCTATATGCAGAACTTCAATAAAACAATAGTCCCGACATTTGGGTTTCGTGTTTTTTGACTCACCCTGTATGTTGAAACCTTTGCTTTTCACATTGTTATAAAAATGTACTTGCAGGCAACAAGCTTTGCAGTTTTCACAATGGGAATCAGTGGATTTAAACTGAACTACATACATGTAGAGATGTAAAATATCAAGGGTACATGTTTGTATCCTGTTATTATTGGCATGCATTTGTGTGTTCTTTCAACCGATGAACTCTTTTGGAAAATGATCGCTCAGTCGCTCACAATGATTTTTGGGTTTTTTTTAAATGATTTTATTATTTATTTGATTTTTTTTTTTACAGAAGTGTCTCTGGAATCTACAGTGGCATGGTTGCCATGTCAGACACTGTGAGCTTGCTAGCGGAAAGACAGGGAAGTGTTGGCAAGAAAGCTAAGGTACATATTGTGAAGTGAACAAGGTTTTCATAGAAGTATGAAAAATATAGTACATGCTTGCTAAGGCCAAAAAAAAAAAGTCTCCGGTTTCTGGTATGGAGCTTGCCCAAAAAGTGGTGCAGCGACGCGCCTTTTTTTTTTTTTTTTACCTGATTTTCTTGCTTCAAATGTCGGCTGATGACTGCAAATGGTGCCCGACTAAACTTAGTGCAAATATTATGGGAGACCAGAGAGGCCACATAAAGCTTATTCTCGATCATAACCCCATCTAAACACGTTAAAATTGTGCAGCAGCAGGATCCCAGTCAAACCAGTGAGTTTGACCTTTTTCATTTTGCCGACGCGCATGGCTACGCCGACGCGCGCGCATAACAGAAACCGGATACTTTTTTTTTTGGCCTAAGCCAAAACAATGCTTGTCCTCAACATTTTTCTGAAGGGGATAATGTATCTGGCTCATGCTATATATTGGGGCCCACATTTTGTCCTGTCCCTGTTACATCTGACATCTATGAGTTTGTTATTCTGGATACACTCCTTCATGCTTTCTTTCTTAGATAGTAATGAAAGCAAACTGCATGTAGCTATCCAAAAAACAAAAATTAGTTCAGAGGCGATAGGGACAGAAAAGATGTCACAAATTTGATCCTCAATATATAGAATGACCCATCTAGGGCTGTGCCTTTACAGATAGTTTTAGAAGTGGATACCCCAAAATCATCACAGCTGGGTACCTAGGTGGGTATCTGGTTACTGGGGCCAATTTCATAGAGCTGCTTAAGCACAAAATTTGCTTAAGCACAAAAACGTCTTGCTTAATAAAATCAGGTTACCGGCCAAAACTCCATACGATTGTTATGCTAAGTAAACAACAGCTAAATACCAGTCACAAGCAATGTACATCACATGGAGTTTTGGCCGGTAACCTAATTTTACTAAGCAATGTTTTTTCGTGCTTAAGCAAATTTTCTGCTTAAGCAGCTCTATGAAATTGGGCCCTGTTGGTTAGTGTATACAGTTTTGCCAAAGTGTGTAGCCTGCTGATCTCTATATCAAGACTGGCTGCCGCAGACGAATGACATTTGAAGCTATGTTGGAGATCTATAAAAGACAAGTTGCCATCTTTATAGGCAGTCGTGATTCACTTTTGTACCATCGTGGTTCACCTGGTTTACCTTTTTGTCCACCACTACTGACGACAGTTCACAATTGTTCAAACGTTGGGGTTTTCTTTGTGAATGCCGCAGTTCACTTTTTGCAACTTTTGGAAATATAATCACGACGGAAATTTGTCCTTTTTAGAACATCATGTACGTGAACAAAATGCAAAAGGAGAAAAACAATTCACAATACTTTCCATTTTGTTGAAACTTGTTGGCACATGATTCAACAAGTAATACTGCTATGAATTATAGACAGTAATTGATCAATGCTAAAAGCAGGCTTCGCAACCCATCTCACCCCCAATACACACATCTACTCACTTGCCTGCGGTTCAGTCTGTTTTGCCCACGCTTACTTCCACCCCTTATTCAAGTATTCAGTTCAAATGTTGTTTGAAACTTTGTATGATTGAGTGGTACATAGGGAAATAGGTTTGGGGCATAGAGCTATAGATATTAAATTACTAGAGCGCTAACTCCTCATTCTTGCGCGCGGAGACGCTTTGAAGCCGTCCTGGGCGCAGACATTTTGAATTCATGTGCGTGTTTGTAGAACATAATGAAATCAGATGGATTGAATTTTGAAAGTGTACTCTAAATGCAACGCGCATGTAAAACGTACGCAAACTTCTTAAGCGCGTGTTACGGTTTAAAACAAGAAACACGTTTAATCATCAGCAGCAGATACGCACACGCGTTGTGCTATTTGCGTAGAGCAAAATGACGTGACATGCTCATTTGTTGATCCTGCGTTTTGGTTTTTGGCGTATCGGCTTTTATGACGCACCGGTATGGAATACAAACGCAGATATGAAAATAGACGTACAAAATACATACAAAATTTCTACTTCACCATAGGTTTTTGTATAAACATGGATGCGCCCAGCAGGCATCGCTTTGTACATGAGTTAGCGCTCTAGTAATTTAATAAAGCTTGATGGTTTGCGGGTACACGGACAAATCTCTTTTGTGAGGAGCTGTAACTCTCTGAAGAGGTCTGTGGTGAGAATAGGGTCTCAAGTTCAAACCGTTCACATATACACTGTTCTTCTTCAGGAGCCTCTGGAACTCTATTGATGGAACTATAAAGACTCAATCGTCCGTGGGCGGATTCAAGTCCTCCTATAAAAACGTCCTCATCTCCCTCTATGTGACTTAGCTTCTGAAATTTTCTTTCTTCTTTTTCTCTACTGAACCTCAGATTTATGGCCAGTTCGAAAATTCTTTCTTTCTTTTTTTCATTCTAGTTTACTATATTTGATCTTTGTTTCATTTCATCAGCAATATGTACGGTGTTTCTTACTAGTTTACGTATGTGTTTAATGTCATGTCCTTGTATTTTTTGTAATCAGTTTGTTTTGTCTTCGATCCGTCAATTTGGTCTTCCTGTATCTGTTTGTCTGTTGTGTGTGTGCGTATGTGTGCTTGTCTGTCTGTCTGATTTATATGTCTCATCATTTCACAGTATTTCTTTATTTAGTTATTATTTAAAGGCATCTCTATGCAAGCTTCTGCTTACAGAATATGCTTCTATGTATGTGCAGAATGGAAATAAATGTGAACTGAACTGAACTGAGATTGAAAAGAGTACATACATGTATGGTGTTTGAAACGTCGACACCTATATTCTCAATACAGGCACTGTTCAGAGCCAACACACAGTCGTGTTTTACTATACTCTCGAGGACAATGCTTTGTCTTTTCCTTTGTCCCTGTAATATAACACTCTCCCATAGACTAAGCGAACAAACGCACGACCGAGGACCGATTTCAACAAAAGATGAACTCTCGAGGACAACAAAGAATCTGTTGTTGTCCCTTTGTCTGTCTGTCCTTGGGGTGTATATAGTTCACGTACACTTTGTCACAAATGAGATTTGTCCATGGTATACCCGCAAACCTACTTCCCTATTTACTGCAGTTTATAGATTCAAATGACATTTCATAGAATCATTATATTATTATTAAAGAAAATAACCAGTTCATAACCCTTCTTCTTCATCAGGTTGTTAAAGAACTTCTGGACAAGCTCTAAGCACTACTAATGAACGGCTGAGCTCAGCTGCTGCAGGTATTGCATCTAAGTTTTTATCAATACCCGGCACAAGTTGTATGTAAAATATAATACTTCTCACTTTTGTGGAATTGGTAATAAGGCCAAAAAAAAATATATTCGGTCTCTGGTCAGACCAAAGTTCCGGAATTGACGCGGCCACGCGGCTTTTTTTTTTTTTTCTTCCAGCTTGGATTGTACAGACAAGGTGGGGTACTATTTTGCTTTTTTGGTGTCCTCATGTACATTGGTGTCCTCCATAATTTGCCTTGGTGCTTTCGATCATTTGCCTTGGTGCAATTTCCCATTCCTTGGTGCTCTTTGGTAAAAATAAATGAGGAGGTGCGGAAATAGAGGGCGCTGTTGGAGCTACCGCGGAACATTTTGGGGAAAAAAAAGATCGACGTGCATGATTAAAATCGACGCACGCGCTGACCAGAGACCGACTTATTTTTTTTTGGCCCAATATAATGAGATCAGCATTTAAAAATCAGGGTCCAAACTTGCCTTCAATAGAAGTTTTTTGTTGCAGTTTTATGCTTTACAATGTACATGCATTGCTTATAACCCTAACCGGAAGTAACACGATCTTATGTGCAGGTTGTCAGAACATAGGGGTGTCCGAACATACAGCATTCACCATGTTGGATATGGCATTTTTAACACCAGAGGGGCACATAAGCTGAGGGTGCTATGTGTCCCAAGGAGGTTAAAAACGCCATATCCCACATCACAGCAGTCAACAACTGTTTTGTTACATCGTGCCAATGAGTAAACAAGATAAAGGCTTTGAACTTACAATGCAAGAAATAAATTAAATCGTGGTAGTGAAGCATTTCGATAACTGCAAGCTTTCCCGCCAGACATGAGACTGAGCAGTTCTAGTTTTCATTCACGAGGTGTGGTGTGTGCAACGCAGTGTATATGAGGTAATTTATATGTAATGCCGTGTATATGAAGTAATTTATATTCAACACAATATATATCATGAAGTAAATGGTTATGTTATAGACTGGACACGTGGCCCTTTCTGGACCAATGAGTATCCAAGCACACGATATAATAATTATTAATCCTGACACCCCCACCAGTATTTGCAGTATTATGATAGATTCAAGACTATGAGAAACTTAAAACACTTGAAATTGGGCTGGGGTGGGTAGCCATCACGTGAAAGTGAAACTAAAAAAGAATACCAAGATTTACTCCACAAACCACAGCTCTCCGGCCATGAGAGAGTTTATATGCAATTATATTTATAACCATATCATTATTATGGAATATATGCCTGGTTACAGTTTTCACTGTGCAGTTCATACACATGTACATGTATAAACTGATTTTGAACTTCGGGTTTGTACATGTCGTAGTGTACAAAATAATATTTATTGTCTGTTGTGAACCAGGATACAAGTCACACACTCTTTTTCTTTATTGTGAACAACTTTCAGTTTCACAAGACACTCCTGTTAAAAGTTTTTCACTTAAATACATTAGCATCATTTTAATGATAACATTATATACATGTACATATATTATATTCCTACAAATGCTGATGTCTTGAGACTCCGTCCATTTTTTCACTGAAACCAAAATTCATGTAAATATTAAGACTTGTGTGTATGCAGTGTGAATTTCTATAATTGTTTTGCGTCATTCCAACTTGAAAAAAGGTACACGTTTGGCCTCCAATAAGACATTAACATAATGTGTTTAGATTGTCCAAGAAAATAGGTTTTATGAAACAAGGATCAACTTGTTGGCATGTTAAAATAGTCTAAATTTGAGCTTTATGTATTCCTATTTATTTCATTTTTTTACTCACAAACAGCACAGTTTACTTCACCATTTTAGATCATTTAATATGCAACCATACTTAATAATAAATTATTTTAAACACAATAAATAATACAATATGTGTTACGTAACAACAAACACTTGCACTGAGCATGTAATGAAAATGAAAGAAAAAAACCCCAACAAAACACTTTATGTTTCAATTAATTTACAATGAATTATATTGTTTGGTGGCCATCTCGATTCTGTTTTAATGTAAATACAATTTTGCATATCTCAGTAAACCAGTTTCATAAAGGAAGTTCAATTACTGTCCAATCTGACCGAACCACATTAAAGGGGCATAACAGCCTGAAATCCCCCCCTCCAAAAAAAATGTTTTGGATTGTTTACTTTAATATCCTATTTCAAAGGTCTAGTTGAGAGATGAAAAGAAAAAAAAAGACGAAAAAACCCCCCAGTTGTTTACAACGGACACTGCGGAATTTTTGTGTGTTTACATCCTACTTTTAAATGCTCTTTCCAATTAACATCATTTCATTTAAAATGCATTTTGTAGCCCAATTCGCACATTCTAGGATGTAATATCCCTTTAACCCCTTAGTCACTGTAGCAGCCAAACCGCCCTGCCTATTACTCCCTGCACTGCCCCAAACCACCCTGCCTATTACTCCCTGTAGCACCCCAAACTGCCCTGCCTATTACTCCCTGTAACACCCCAAACTGCCCTGCCTATTACTCCCTGTAACACCCCAGACCACCCTGCCTATTACTCCCTGTAACACCCCAAACCACCCTGCCTATTACTCCCTGTAACACCCCAAACCACCCTGCCTATTACTCCCTGAAACGCCCCAGACCATCCTGTCTATTACTCCCTGTAACATCCCAAACTGCCCTGCCTATTACTTCCTGCACTGCCCCCAACTGCCCTGCCTATTACTCCCTGTAGCGCCGAAACCTCCCAAGCACTCTATGGTTTTATTGATTTTTTTAGTGAATAAAAATAAATTGTATACAATGAAGTCGAAGTGCTAATGGATAGCCCTAACAGTCCTGAATCCTCCAATTTTAATATAATTGTGCACTACCCCTAGTGAGTTGCTTTGCCCGTGCTTTTCAACAAATTCAATTTTTTTCTATAATAAATGTTTAACTTGTATGATTTATCCCAACGAAAATACACGTACATCCTGTTTTGGACATCTACCTCTGAAAAAGGTTTTGTTTTGGGCACATCAGATACACTTGTATAGGCTGCCTCCAAGTTTGGACATTATTAATATTGATTGTGAGAACCAGCCTACCCTGCAAGAATGGAATTATTGTCTGGCACTGCTGGCAACCAACCACTCAAAATTGTAATAAATAACTCAATAACGATTTGTTTGGGTCGATATCTAATTCAAAAGTGAATATAACCTTAGTAAGTGCTATAAAAATAGCAATTTAGAAAAGGAATCAGAAAAAAAATGTTGCAACCGGATGCCACTTCAGTGGTTGTCTACAAAGTCTATGGAGAGTCAAGACAATTTTCCGTCAAGTATTTCCTTACAAAATTGGAAATGTTTCTCTCAGTCCAAGATTCATGTCTCATCATCATTTTTGAAATGACTGACCTTCATTGAGATGACATATGAAGAAAAAATATCAGGTTGCAACATTTTTTCCAAGGAATCTATTTTTCAGGATGAAACCTGTAAATAGCACGAGGAATACATCTCTAACAACAGATCTATAGTCTTGAAGAAACTCACATATCTTAGCTTTTTGTTTATGTGTTACTTTATTTATTACCCCCTTTTACTGAGTGTGGCCTAGCGGTTAGGGTTAGTGACTCATGATCAGAGGGTCAGGGGTTCGAATCCAGCTGCACGCTGGCCATACAATGTGTCCTTGGGCAAGCCAATTCATTCCCACTTGCCTCTCTCCACCCAGGAGTATAAATGGGTACCAGAATTAGCTGGGGAGTAACCTGCGATGGACTAACACCCCATCCAGGGGGAGTAGAAATATTCTCAGTCTTTTTTTTTTAACTGACTGCCCTCCTTTCTTCTATATTGGCCTCTGCTGGGCTTGAATGTCACTAACCCCCACAGGGGTATTCTCTAGGCACCCTGCCAAATGCAACAGAATGCAGTGAACTAATACATACCAGCCTTGGTACCAAGTACCTACCCTGCCAAATGCAACGGAATGCAGGGGGTGCAATGCATCAGATCAGGAGACTAATAAGTGCAACAACTTGCAACAACTTTTTACCACTGGTGCATTCTGTTGCATTTAGCAGAGTTTGGGGATGTGAGTGAGAGTTGCATCAAAAAATTACAAATCAATCCGAGTGGTTCCTTGCTAGTTGTGTCACACCCTCGTACATTCCCGTGCCATATTGGGGTAGCGGCAGAGGGGCAAGCATACCCAAGAGCCAGTATTTTCCCAGAGTGTCAGTGAAGTTCTCCCAGATGGATGTATCTGTACCCCTCTCACCGTTGATGGCCTCGTGGGTAGTCAGTCCCATCACCATGAGGAACATCTGCCAAGTGAAGAAGCAAAGCCCTCCAAATGCCCCTGTCAGACAAACGTACAGGAACAGAACAAGGAGCAACTCCTGAGACCCTGCAGATCCAAAAAACCACCGTTCCATGGACGATGGAAGTAGTGTGAAGAACGTGAACGGCCCGAGAAACTTGGTCTTGAAGGACACGTGCATGTACATGGCCGTGGTGAGGAGCGCGTACACCGACACCAGGGCTGTGTGCAGAGAACAGTAAATAAAGTACTTCTGGTTGTTGTAGCCGACACACTTGCCAAGGATGAAGCAGTGGTGGTCATGCTTGCGGATGCACTGGTCGCACACTTTACAGTAATGGGCGCGGAAGGGAATCATGGGATATCGGTTTGCCGTGAGGAAGGACGTCCGTTTGCGCTTTTTCAAGTGGACGTCGCTGGAGGCGGCAAGCAGATAGTTGCCCATGGCATTGGCAAACAGATACAGCATAAGCGCTCGGTGGCTGGCCAAGGAAAATCCCAGCGCATGTGACAGTTCCGGCAAGACGACTGTCCATTGCAAGATGGCACCCAGTATGGTGACACTTGTGTAGTAGCTGACGCCTATCACATTCAATGTGGTCGTTAGTGGCCTGCGCAAAATCCTTCTTATCCAGTTGTCACTTTGTTTTGGTCCATCAGCGCTTCCCATTTTCCTCTGCGACACATAAAGAACCAGGCTTCACTTATCTATGAAAACATGTACATGCTCATGTGCATGCCATCCCTACTGTACATACCAGTTCTTGTAACAATCAATACACATGTATGAAAGGCTATTGAAGTCATCAGGTCAATGCCTGGCTAACCTATATTGGATGAATACACACGGACAATTGCACTGCCATTGTACCACAATTCACTCAGTGAAAGTGCAACTCAGAACTTGCCCCCGCCTATACACATGACACCTCACGCATTGAAACTGAAACCAATGCAATGTACAATGTAAATGTACATGTTACAAAGAAAAACAGTGCAGGAAAATACTTGTGCTAAGTCAGACAATGATTGTAACGTATATTATAGTACATGTATAAGCATCACAATATGACACAGGAAAATGAATTTTACAGTACATGTATATGCAGTATAGGCATCTCTATATGACACAGGGAAATGAATTTGACGCTGTTGGTATCCCATGGCAACAGGTCACAAGGTCATATCTAAATTCGACTGATGTGTGACTCTGCATTGAAAGGAAAGGAAAAAAAATTAAAGAAAAGTTAAAATCATAAGACCTGTGTCATGCCTGTAGGGGGCAAGGGAATAATTCAAGGTTCAATTTGAAGTATCAAACTACAGCCAAATGGTTGGGACACTTCCTGAGCCTGCCACGGTCACCCACTGCCCCGGTCAATGTTGTTCTCTCCAGCTGATGGAGCACACACTGCGCAATGAGAGACAACATTGAGTGGGGGCCGGCGCGATTTGGCCAGGATTGTAGAATACATGTGCAGGTGCATTTATTGTTTATATGAATCTTCTAAAGATTCATCAGACTTAATCAAATTGAAACTGAAAGCTTTTATTTCAGTTTACAAACTACAATACATTGCAGACGAGAATTTAAAGAAAGTATGCTAATTGATTAGTTCTGACCAGTGATGGGAATAATATCCAGATCATTTACAAGTCGGTTTGAATTCCACTACATGTATTTGGTTTGGATTTTGAAAACCTGATATTCAAAACTCTTATTAAAAAGTAAGCTTTCCCTTTTTTGTGTGACACAGGCAAAAATCAAAACAACTGGAACATCTCCCATTTGCTCCACGGTCTCCGACTGTGACCACATTTACTCGCTAGTAGTCTTCTCGGTTCAGGAGAGTTCCCGCCCATTTTTTTCACCATTACAGCTCTGAGCGCATACCATGTGGCAACTCACTCTCCACATTTTTTTTTGGCATGAATGTGAGCTGAATGGAAAGTTCCAGTGAAATCAGAAATTCAGTTTGAAAAAAAAGGATTGTAACCAAATTTTGAAATCTCCGATTTCTCCCACCACCAATTCCAACATAATGGCATATTGACAAAATTTAAAAGAAATCAGGAAATATTGAGCAAAAATTTCAACAGTAACCGACCGTATCATCGCTGACATTTCATATGAAATGATGTCCTTGTAGTTTGGATAATAAAAGACATCACAAAACCAAACTACAGTATTACAGTGATATTTATCTTCTACATGTAAAGTACCCAATGTTCAAATTTTGAATTTTATTTTTCCTATATAGTTCCTCTAAATATGAATCCCTTCTGAACTCAAAATATCATGTGGACTCTCTGATCTACATTGTAAATCTGTTGAAATATTTGTAATTTAAATATGACAACTCTAATTGAAAGACATCTGTAACTAAAGTTGTCTTTTTTATCAAACAGATGCCACACAAAGTACAAGTAGTGATGACATCAAACATGTTCCATGCTACATTTATTTCATAATTGCACAACAAATCACGACTTGGCTACTTTCAACTAAATATTTCAAGCATTAACACAAGGTATAAATTTTAAGTACAAAATATATGTATCAGAGTACAAAAAAGATTGTCAAATACAGATACTTTTAAACAGTTTAGCAAAACTATCATCTGGAGGAAATCTTTTCAGTTAACAGTAGAACATACAACTAGTAAAATAGTTTAAACAATGCTGAAAATCTCTTAATTTCAATAATGAAGTTTGATTCATTGCCATTGCGGAGAAATAAATTAACTTTTACATGTGATCCTGTTTGACATTAATATACATTTCAGTATTAATAAAGTTGGAAACAAACCTGTTTTGACTTTGAAGTTTTGAATTTAATTTTTGTTTAATAACCTGCTTTGGATTGATTGAATTGTTTTCCGTAGAATGGGGGGGGGGGGGGGGGGGGGGACCCAACGTGAAATAAGGGTTTCATCTTTTCAGGTGCTGCTTTTTCATGTACATGTATTAAAACTGCTTGTGAACGTTTCTCTGTTGACTTCAGTTATCATGCAGATTTACCTTCAACTTTGAAGGAGAATATCCACAAGAATTTGTATATTATTATCTTTGCGATGATTATGTAATTAAAGAAAACATGGTGTTACGTACGGGACA